CCCCATTGGCATTTGGTCTTAGTGACAAAGAAAATCATCATACAATATGAATAGCAGTTCAAGCAGTACAAGCTAATATTCTATATAATGACTCTAATTACATGCATCATTATCAGTATGTTAATTTAGAAAATGGAAAAGGCTTTCGACGTCAGAGAGAATGCATTTCACACTGGAATCTATTAGCTATGATAGACAAACATTAGCTCACTAAACTTGCACTTCAAGATCTCATTCGTGGGACTATTCTCTGTTGGTTCCATATTATGGCAACTTTAGGCGAACATTTTCAAACATGGAAAATAGACTGGTCATTATAGTACCCAATAGCATTAGCTTTTAAAATTGTGGGCCGAAGTAGATCAGACGAAGAAGCTATTATGATGGGTAAATAATATAGAAATTTTGTCTATTCTTTGCTACTAGATAATAATATAAAAGATCTTTTGGCTTCTGATTTAGAAATAAACTGGATTTGTGACGAGTGGAGGCAATGTTTTATCGATGGTGGATGGGCACCACATATATATGTTCTGGCCAATGCCAAACTGATGACTACAAACAACCTTACTGAGCATATACATAAAATGGTAGAAGCATGATGTAGTGGAACATAAACGGTCATTTCATTTATTGAATGTTTGTACAGCATTAAAATTCTTCGAGATTTATTAGTTCAAAATGAACTTGGTGAAACCTCATTTAATGCGGGTTTGGTAACGTATTAGAATATGCATACAATCGAACATAAGCAATTTCTACACAAAAAACCAATTGATGTAAAATGTTAAATCAACCAAGGGCGTCTCTATGTACTTCTTGGTCTAGTTATGCCAGTAATTGGACATGAAAATTACATGTTTGTTAAAAAACAGTGTAAAAAGTTTTATTCACCCTACAATCATTATTCTATCAATATGGCAGCAGAACTAACTGAAAAAATTGATGCAATGATTACTAAGTTAGTAAACTGTAATGATATTAATATCCTAGCTAATTATTATCTTGTTAATATGTTATCTGGAGAGTGTACATGTTACGATTATATTTGGAGGGGTTCATATTGTAATATCTGTAAGCACATCTATGTGGCAAGATTATATATAGAATTATTATATGAAAGGTTACAAGTGCAAAATGTCAAACAGAGCCTAGTAAAGCATTTTAAAAGTAAAGAGCGTACTATTGTATTTGAAAAAAAAAATTATATTATTTACAATAGAACTGATGATGAAGCTTATCAGAAAATTCTGCGGCTCTTTAATTATGTTAGCAATGATATCTTTTTTTCAACCGATCAAAGAACAGCAATACAAGATCCATTTCGTCCAATAAATAATATACAAATTTCCACAACAATAGGATCACCAAGAAATTACAAATCAAAGTAACGAAAGCCCAGTTGACTCTTTAATGATAAACTGCCTAATGAAACAGGAGCACATAATTGTCAAGAGTCTACTAGTAGTTCAGAAAATATT